AGCGGCGGCCCGCAAAGCCAACCCATGCACGAAACTCTCAGCAAATTCGATGGCTCGGGCCGCCTTATTTTTGTCACTCATTCGGTTCCTTATTCTGCGTGTGGACCGATCAAATCTTGATCTTTTCAAGTTTATCTGATCAATCTCTGAGTTCCAATCTGGGAAGATGGAGAAGAAAGCAAGAGTTCATCCCGAATGTATCAACGCCTCCAATCCGTACCATGAATGTGTCGATTACTGCTACAGGAAGATTGCCGAAGCAAAAGCCCTTGATGCTGAGAAATTAGGTTTTTTTTATTTTTTTCTTCCACTCACTTTTATGTCCTTAATGTAAGCAGTAGTTTTGCTTTTCATTACTCAACATGATTGATTTTTTTTTTTTTCTTTTCGATTGTTTTTATTATAGACGAAGATCACGACGGCTTGAAGGATCCCGAAGAGCGGGCAGTGCATCCGGATTGTATCAATGCATCGAATCCGTACCATGAGTGCAGCGAATTCTGCTTCAGGAAAATTGCCGAGATGAAGGAGAGGATTGCTGGGTATGAACAAGGTCTGTTTGTTTTGCGTCCTTTTATCCTTGTTAGTACTTATAACTGTTATGTTGAGTAACATAATTTATGTAAATTTCCCAAATTTTATTATGTTTTTATGAGAATTTTTATTATAATTTCGGCTGCCCTAAAGGATTAGGACTGTTAAAAACCGCACAATCAAATCGCAGTGAATTAGGCTTCACTTATTCACCAACTCTAGTTACGTTTGTTTTAACATTGAAGCTGTTACTTTTCTGGTGCCTGTAAACATCAATTTCTGGGACCAAATATTTTCTTCAGGCTGTGAATAGATTGAATTGTTTCTTCTACAATTAGATGTTATGTTGTATTTGCTTTCGTAAAATGATCATGGTTCAACAATTTTGATATTCAGGTTAGAAAATGCATATTTTGGAGTTGCGCTTTTGATAAACCTCATCATTTTGGTCAATCTTAAATATTCATGATTTTTTTGCCTTTGATTTTATATACTGTTAAAGCTATAAATGGAAACTGAGTAGATGACAATGTTTAGGTTTCATTCATTTCATTGGTCATCCATTTGATATCAAAGTCTCTAAGCAATTTAGGGTAACTTTTGCATATATCCCAGATTGTTGGGAACCTATTGCACTAGTTACTAGCCTTTCTTAGTGGGGTAGGATGGATTGGATTCGTTAAGCTTGTTAAGCTTTGATTAACCAAATTCAGGAAAAGAAATTACCATATTCGCAGTCGTTAGATTGACCTACTTGGTTATATGCAATTAGAACCAGTGTATAAACCTCTTAGTACAAGTTATATTTTGTCAAAAGTCACACAAAATTAATTTAGGGGTTGTTTGGGATCAATTTTTGTTTTTTGTTTTTTGTTTTTGAAAATAAAAAAATCAGAAAAAAGTGATTGCTTATCTGTTTTTTGTTTTATTTCCGTTTTCGAAGAATACTTATGTTTTTAAAATACTCAAGGAGAATACTTTAAAATATTAAAAACAAGAAAAACATGTTTTTTTGTTTTTAAAACACCGATCTCCCTCATGATAGCCGATGATGCAGAACGCCTTGGCTCGCCGACTCCATCCAAATATTATTTTTCGTGTAATTTTCTGGCATCGAAGATGTCCACCGACAAAAGCCGACGGTGTTAGGCGCAACGATTGGCTGCGTGAGGGGATCGAAGCCCCTAGGGCACGAACGTAGATAATAATCTGTAGAAGTCATCCTATTTCGATCTTCTCCGAGAAGCCGAAGCAGTAAGAAGCGAAAGAAAAATGGAAGAATAGTAGCGCAGCGAATCGGGGCCTAATATCTCTGATATGGAACTCGTACACACAAGGCTTATGGCGGTGGAATGTACAGCTAGGACGACGTTGAAGACACGGCGATGGCGATGAGCAGGAGCAAAGGAGGAAGGCGCTGGCGAGCGAGGCAAGGAGTGCCGATGGGATTTTGGAGCGACCAGTGGAGCCGAAGCACAAACCTCCTCCTTCCACCTGTGATCGTGATCTTGACATCACAGGCCTGTCTTATATCCAATAAGCAACTTGAAGGAATAACATTAGGAATAATTCTATCTTATTTGTTTTGTCTTGAGATCTTTATTATATTTGCAAATTTAATGAAATGAAAATATTTCTCGTTTAGTGGATTCTATTGAGGAATTTTTTTATGGAGTTTGGAGATTTCCATTGGCTCTTTTTTGCTATTTATTTTTTGGGATGCTTCTTTGTATTAAACATCATAACTATTTATGTTTTTCATGTTGCTTTTTTTTTAAATTCATTGCATCAAATTTTAAATTGAATTGAGATTAGCATGAATTCATAATGCAGCCTATATATTCATATATGTAGGTACACCCAAAGAATTTGATAGCTCAAATTAGATTGGTTGATTGGTGAGGATAATTTATGGGTAGTTATTGATATGTCTAATTAGACCTGCCAACCCGCGGAGGGAGTCAACAAGTAAATTCAAATCAAACCGACTCACAAGAAAATTCAGATCAAACCGACTCATAGGGCAGAAATCCTTTTTTTTTTTTTTGGGAAGGAAAATAGTTTTTATAATCCTTTTTTTCTGGGAAGGGGAAAAAAGGGAAAATCGACGTTACGTGTGCGCATCCCAACAATATGATGTCTTCCCTTAGCAAAATTGATGTTCCGGATGCACTCAAGCAGTCTATTTCTTCATTAGAGGTTGTTTGGACAAATTTGTCCATGATCAAGCCAATTTAAGTCCAATTCGTGCGAGGCGTGGCGAAGGAGATTTGTTGGGCCGATCGAAGTCGCCCGACAGACAAAATGCAGTCCAAATAATTTGTTATAGAATTATTCCTAATGTTATAATAAAGTATTTAGATGTTTATATCAAACACCATAGCTGCTTTGTTATAGATTTGATCCAAGCATGCTATGGACAAAGCAGCTTTTATATTTTCCAACTAACGATATCTTAAGCATATTTGAGTTTCTGCAAACTGCCAAATCCATGAACAAGATTTTACTGGTTGAAGCTGCTATGAGTAATACTTGTTCTATGACCAATCAGCAGCTGCTCAAATGTCCTTACAAAGTGTTACGTTAGAGGCTTAACTCATTCTGATGAATCTCATCCCCCAATTTCTTTTCTTTTTTCGTGTCCTTTTTTTACACCGAGACCACACTTCCTGCATGCCACAAAGTAAACAAAATTCCCGATGCTCAAACCAAATAATTTTAAAGTTATACACAACTTCTTGTAGGGAAGCTAGCGGAGGAATGATCTTGCACCTTCCCACTCTATAATATATACTTTCCATTCCCATGCAAAACTTTAGGATCTAGATTTTTTATATGAACTAAATAGGTTGAGATTGTTTCAAATCATTATTAGTGGCATTTCTTGTTGTAGTACATCAAACGGGTCATTTGAAGAAGAGCTCCACTACATTTAGGGGCTGTCTGGTAAATGATTTAGAGCAGGATTTGACTAGGATTTAAGTTAAATCCTGCCAGGTGGCCATTTTGGACAACTTAAATCCTGACTTTCTAAATCCGAATTTCAAAATCTCAGATCCTTTTCGGCATAAATCTTAGATTTAATAAATCTTGCTATTATGCAGATTTAGTAAATCCGAGAATGCGTGGAGAGAATAAATGGTACGAACAGGACTACTTTTCTCAATGGTTTCGTATAGGAGCGGTGCGGCAAGAGAACGAAGATGGGAGTTTCTGTGGCCTCTATACACTGCAAGTCTGTTGTTGCCTCCCAACTAGCTCTAATCGTGACTTTATCATGAGGGTTTGGTCATGAAGGCGATGGTTTTGGGCGTAATAGGTAGAGGGGCGGGCACATAGATGAGAATTTCGGGCAAAGAGGGGGAAGGGGCTGATAAGTTTGTGGTTTTAATTTAATTTTATTTAAGTTAATTTTATTAATTTATGTGATTATAATTAATAATTAATTAATATATTATCAGATTAATTAAACTTAGATAAATTTGTATGTTACTATTTGATAGTTATTTAATAAAATTAAAATACATATTAAATTTTCATTTATTTTTAACATTTTAATTAATTATTAATTGATAAATAGTAATTTATTGCTTAATAAAGAATTAGTTTAATAGAATCTTTTTAATAATTAATTAGTTTATTGAATAATTAAATATTAATTAGCATAATTAGGAATAAAATTAAAATTGAGTTTTATTAAATTTAATAATTAATTTCTATCATTGTAATAAAATAATCAAAGTTTAATTATATTTTGTATTATAACAAATTTAACAGACTTTTAAATTCTGCCGGTAGTTGCCAATCAATTTTATATTATTTAGTGATTTTATTAAATCCATTGCCAGACAGTTTTTCTGATTTAATCAATTCAGGATTTACTAAATCCGGATTTATAGGATTTAGTAAATTATAATAACTGGAATACCATTGGTTGCCAAACAGCCCATTACTGTTGCTTCTTTTAAAGGATAAACCTTGTGTAATAATTGTCATGCCATTGTAACCATTGCCATGTGGACTTTTTAATATTTTTTTCATCGCCCATGGCAAGTTGGGAATTTATTATTGTGTAAGTGAAGATTGAAATGTTGATTTGTAATTGTTTTACAATCATGTGTGTTATAGTTGTGAGTGGTAGACTTAAGTGGTTTATTAAGTTGACCATATGCTTGTATTAGTAGGTTGAAGGAGGTGTCTGGAAATTAGCATTTTCCATGGGCCATTCAAAGTGGTTAGCCTATGACGCCATTAAAACTTTCAAGTCATCTGAGGAATTTAAAAAGGCAATCTGTTATTTCACTCCTTAAACCACACATTTTCCTTCGATATATTTTATCTTTAAATGAGAACGTAGACATTGTCATCATCATGTTATTGATGTGAACCATGATTTATGTCGTAATTATTGTTATGTTGGCCAACATGGGTTTGATAATTTGATTTGACATGAGTATTTTTAGATTGATGATGAGGGTATGTTGTATATTTGTTATATTCTGTGAATTGATATAGTTATTTCTTTAGAGATTGGAGTATTGAGTTAATTTAATTTAAATTTAGAATGAATTTTATCAAAGTTATCCATGATTTTTTTTTTTATTTTCCCATCTAAGGTTAACTTTTCTACACCCCTTTTATGTTTACTCCTTATCAGAAGGAAATGCTATTCAAGTAGTGATGCTAGTGCAATCGTTTCAGTTAACAAAGATTCCGTTGCATTCAAATCTGGCAAGATAACTTATATGTAGTGCAAAATAAATTACTTTATGATTTGAATCCTTCTTGCTAGAAAAAATAAAATTGTTATGCTTTCAACTTTCTATTCTTAGGAGCCTTGGGAATATATGGAAGATGTTTTGTTTGACTCCAATGTGTCGGTCGACTTTTTGATTTGAAAATAATTTTTAAATTTAATTTAATTTAAGTGGTATATAGTTTTGATTTTGAAAGTAGTGTATTTTAATTTTTGAAAAATGAGACCAAATTAATCTCATTCATCTAATAGTCTATATAATC